TTTTGGGATAAAAGTGGTCATTACATTTAGTAAACACCAGTACACCTTCTGGTAGTGGGGAACAGGTCACCAAAACAATAATAGAGGGCTGGGAAGGTGGCTCAGTGGTAGAGCCTTGCATGTATGAGGCCCTGGGTTCGATTCCTTAGCAGCACATAAGCAAAAAGAAAAAAGCCGGAAGTAGTGCTGTGGCTCAAGTGGTAGAGCACTAGCCTTGAGCTGAAGAGCTGAGGGACAGTGCCCAGGCCCAGAGTTCAGGCCCTACAATCCGACCAAAATAAAATAACAATGCTAGAAGGCATTATGTCACTAGAGCTGTTCATGGAAACAGGTGCATTTTCGACAAAGCACCTAACCTCTCTGCCTCAATGTTTTCATCATCAAATGGTTGGTTATAAATAGTGACTACCTTGGAGTTATTCTGAAGATGAATAGGAAAATCCAAGTAAAGCATTTAGCACAGTGCCTGGCTCAATGCTGATGCTCAGCAAATGTGGAACTACTGTGATTCTTTACAGGCGTCCCACTCATTCCATCTACCTCTTCCTCACTCTAGAAGTCAAGGTGACTTAATGCCCAAAACCAGCTCAGGTGGGTAAAGTGGAAGCCTGAAAATGTTGGGGTGACTTTGAGACCAGGTGGAACTGAAGTCACTCTAGGTGACCAGTGCTCCTCAGGTCTACATAGCCATGGTGGAAGGAGGCAGTATCTACAGTTAAGAGTTGGGAAACTGTCCCAGAGATGAACTCTGGCTCTGCCATTTACCAACTTTCTTATCTTGAGTGGCTCTTCCAGCCCCTCATCTTGCTCCCTATCTACCCTTCACTCCTCTCTGTTCTTCCTTTGTGAAATGGCTAGCCTGGCTATTCCACAGGCTTTATTCCAACTCACATTATAAACATTTGCATAAGCCTGAAGCTTGTAGTATCATGCCAGTGATCCTAGCTATTCAGGAGGCTGAGATCCGAGGATTGAAGTTCAAAGTCAGACTGGGGAGGAAAGTCTGAGAGGTGCTTATCTCTGAGATTAATCAGCAAAAAAAAAAGTCAGAAGTAGAGGTGTGGCTCAAGAAGTAGAGTGCCAGTCTTGAGCAGAAAACGCTAGTGGAAAATGTCCACACTTGGGCTGGGAAGGTGGCTCAGTGGTAGAGCGCTTGCCTTGCATGCTCGAGGCCCTGAGTTCAATTCCTCAGCACCACATAAGAAAAAAGCCAGAAGTGGCGCTGTGGCTCAAGTGGTAGAGTGCTAGCCTTGAGCTGAAGAGTTGAGGGACAGCGCCCAGGCCCAGAGTTCAGACCCCACGACCGGACCAAAAAAAAAAAATGTCCACACTTGAGTTCAAGCCCCAGTACGGCACACGTGCACACACACACACACACACACACACACACACACTTGCATGATGCAAGTGTCAAACACTGTTCTGGGTCTTATACACATTCACTTATTTAATCCCCATCATTCTCTGAAGTAATGATTATTATCTCCGTTTTTAGAGATGAGGAAACTGAGGTATAGAAATATTAATAACTTGTGTGAGAGAGAAAGAAATCACCCAGACAGCAGGTGACAGAGCAAGCCTACTAGCCTGATACCTCAGCCCATGGGTGCCTCACCCTGGTTCAAAATGCGCTGGCTCGGCAGAATGCATGACCTGGAGAAGCGATGCTGAGGGAGTTACTTGGCAGACCTGGGCCCCCCAGGGTCGGGGAGGAGGGGAACCAGATTACGCTCGCCCCTCTTCCTACCCAGATTCCAAGATTCAGAGGACTGGGGGAGGGGAGCGCTCTCTCATTTCTTCCTAAAGCACGCGCTCATTTAAATACAGGTGCCTCGGGGTTCAGCTTTCCCTGCTGATGAGGGGTAGGCGGAGTGGGGGGACACTCCTCTCTCTCTCTCTCCCCGACGCTGATGGCTGTGGGTGTGTCTCCTGGGTGGCGGGGTGCTGAGCGCCCGCTTCACTCGTGACGGAACAAATTGCTGTTTTGGCGCTGGTGGCTCTGCCGGGCGCGGGAGGCAGCCGCGCTTGCTGGCAAATCGTGGGAGGGAGGAGGAGCGGCGCTGGCAGGAGAGGCCCCGGGGACCGACCCACAGGCACGGCCGTCTGCCCAGCCCGACCCCTGCTCCCTACCCCACCACCCCCTGGAAGTGAGGCTCCCCCCCCCAAGACACACACACACCCGCAGCCTCCCTCTCCAGCTCCCCATCCAACGCACAGCCGAGCACCCCGCCACTGAAACGGGAAGTGTGGGCCCCCTCCCCACGAGACCTTCCCCCGTGAGACCCGCACGCGCTGGGTTAGGAAGTTTTCAATCTTTGACTTCTAGCAGCCCCCAAGCCGCTGGCGCACATTAAGGTGGTAAGAAACGGAGGGGAAACTGAGCCCCTCGGGTCACCGCGCACCCTCTGCGTTCCGGGGGTCACACGGAAAGCATCTTCTCAGGGCTACCCATCACGCTTCCCCCCTCTCCCCCTCCTCCGATCTCCTCACAGCTCCGGCCCGCAGTCGCATCTTCCAGTGGCCGCTCCATCCATTTCTCCAGAGTCGAGGAAAGGCTTGAACTCCTGACGACGCCACCTTCACCAGCCCCTCCCATCTCCCTTTTTAGACTGCTCCCCGTGCAGCAGCTGGAATCCCTCCAACTACCGGGCCTCCAGTACCAGCTTTGGTCCCCAGTGCTCTTATCCCATCACTTGGTACCTCGGGGAGCAGATCTTCTACAAACGCCCACCCTCCCGGAGCCCTCCTCCTCGGGTCTCTCCGGGGGAGGGATGGCGGCTAGGCGGCTCTTGGAACCCCAGACTGTTGGGGGGAAAATCGCTTCGCCCTTACGGTTGAAGCTGAGTCAGTCTGCAGCGACCGTCGTTCTCCGGGAGGCGGGCCGGCATCGAGGGGGCGGCGGCCTCCCCACCCCCCACAGGCCCCACTGAGGGCCCAAGGGGAGGGGGGGAAATCCCTCCGCGGGAGGCCTGTCCCTTTAAGGAGGCGGCCCTGACTGGGTGTGCCCCGTCTCCATGGTTACCCCGGTGCAGGCGGCGGCGCAGGAGGTGGGGAGGGAAGGGAGGCTGCGCTTCTCCCCGACAGACGGAGGGAGCTGAGGGGACCCGGCGCCCGAGCCGGAGCCCGGAGCCTCGAGCCTCTTTGCCACAGAAACGGGGAGACACCGGCAGGCGAGGGGGACAAATAGCACCGCTGTCGCGGGACCCGGAGCCCGCGATTCGTGGGCGGGCGAGGGCGCGAGGGGCCGCGCGCCATGCTCCGGGCCCCGACGGCGCGGACGCCCCCTCGCGCGCCGGCGGCTGGTGGGGCCTGCGAGTTCAGGCTGGGCATTGTTGCCCCCCGACGGTTGCGCTAGGGGGCGCGGGGCCCGGCGGGGGGCGGCCTAGGCGGGCGCCCTCCCCCGGGTGCTGAGTCCCCGCGCCCCGGAGGGATGGGGCGGACTGCCTCGGCCGCCTAAGATGCCGGCCATGAGGGGGCTCCTGGCTCCGCAGAACACCTTCCTGGACACCATCGCCACGCGCTTCGACGGCACGCGTGAGTCCGACCCTAGCCCCCCTGAACCCTGGGAAAGCCCTCCCGCGTCAGGATTCCCGCCAGCCTGGAACCCCCCCCCCCAACACGTCAGTTGGGGCTCCCTCGATTCTCACCTTTTCTCCCCTTCCTCGCCTCTCCTGAGGCTGGGACCGCGATCTCCTTCCAAGCAGGCGCCCATTTCCTGCTCCCCTCCCCACCCCCACGAAGGATTCAGGGTCAACCCTGCTCCTGGCGAGTAGACTGGGCTGGAAGGAGATGGCCCTGAGTGTAGGGCCGGCGGGGGAAGCGCTCTGTTCCCGGGGGTGTGAACGTGGACCTTAGCAAGCTGACCCGCCCCTTCCTCTTATCTGGCACAGTTGCAAGAACTATATACCCTTGGACTGGTCTCGGGGCAGGGAAGGAGGGAGGGGGTGGTGGTGGCTGAACTGTGCTCACTAGAGCTCACCAACAGCGCAGAGACCTCAAAAAATAAATAAATAAATAAAATACAGATTTAGAAAAGAGGTTTTTGCAAAGGAAGATAGAGTAGGCGGGACTCAGGAGAATACCATTTGTCCAAGCCCTTCTCTCAGCCTAAACACACCGGTCTTGGGGAACCTATCCGGCCCCAAAGAAGATGAGCTTAGGGACCCCCACCAAGACTAAGGAAGTTGGAAGAAGGTGACTTGAGCGTCTGCATCCCAGTCTTCAGGGGGCTTAGAGCACAAGGAAAGAATGAAAACTGGGATTCTTCCTTCTCTTCCTCTAGCACATTTAACCCTGGTGGACTTCACAGCTACCTAGTGTCCTCTAGGGTCTTCTATTCATGATAGGGGATGGTAGTCCATTACTGAGTTCTCTTTCTCTCCAGCCTCCTCCTCCAATCGCTTTGCTAGCAGTGCTTGGTGTTTGCAGTGTGCTGATTCAGCACCCCCTGCCCCCCAATACATGCCTGGCTCCAGGCTCTGTTGTTCAGTCTCCACTGCTTCTTGATTATGTTCACTAGTTCCTGAGCCAGGTCAGGCAGCTAAGATACAAACAGGAAAGACAGAATGGACAGTGGCCTGGGTTATCTCCCAGTCTAGGTGGGTCTTGATGGGAGGAACTATACATCTATCCTGGTTATCTGGCCTGGGAGAAGTAGAAGTGGGCTGAGATGAGCTTAGAGCAGGTGGTACAGCCCTCTGGGCATCCCTGGGCCCATCCCTTACCCAAACTGCCCAGGACACAGTCTCAGGGTACAATGCCCATACAGGGCTATACTCATTGGTGTGCATTCATATAACTGATAGATTCATACGTGTGTGGCTAGGAGCAGGCCCTTGCAGGGCACTAACACGCAGATAATACTCCAAGCCCCATTCCTAAACAACTGCCAAACCTACACCCAGTATTCCTGGGGTGTAAAACCCACCCACCCTTTGGTTGCAGGCAAGGGAAGGTGCCTCATATATACCTCATCTGAAAGGTGCTCTCTTGCAGACAGTAACTTCGTACTGGGCAACGCCCAGGTGGCAGGCCTCTTCCCTGTGGTCTACTGCTCTGATGGCTTCTGTGACCTCACGGGCTTCTCCCGGGCTGAGGTCATGCAGCGGGGCTGTGCCTGTTCTTTCCTCTATGGGCCAGACACCAGTGAGCTGGTCCGCCAACAGATCCGAAAGGCTTTGGATGAACACAAGGAATTCAAGGCTGAACTGATCCTGTACCGGAAAAGTGGTGAGGAGCCACCTCATAGGCTTGATTCACCTTCACTGTGTTACCCAACTGGGCACACATCTCATTTACTGTCCCTCCTCCTTTCCTTCCCATCTTCCCATGCACCTATCCACCCTTCCATCCTCTTTTCCTACCCTACTTGCTCTTAAAGACCCTTCCTGTCTGTCATCCTCACCCTAGTTTCAGCCTCCAGTCAGTTCTAAACTTAAGTTTCCAACATCCAGCAGAGAAGCATGCCTAGGTCCCTATCTCAACAGAATACAGATCCCTTCTATCAAGCTCTGGCCCCTATGAATCCAGGCTGATGCTTCTCCCCATGAAGTCCTTCCCCTGCTGTGTCTTGCCCAGGATGTTAGTGGAGTGAGGACCTCTGTCACCTAAGGTGGAGCTGAGAAGGAGAATGTACTGAGTGTGTCTCTGTGCCTAGGGCTTCCGTTCTGGTGTCTTCTGGATGTGATACCCATAAAGAATGAGAAGGGGGAGGTGGCCCTCTTCCTGGTCTCTCATAAGGACATCACTGAAACCAAGAACCGAGGGGGCCCCGACAAGTGGAAGGAGACAGGTGGGTGCATGTGGGTGTTGGTCTAGTTGCTGTAACTGGGTGTTGGGCTACCTCAGGCCTGGGCAAGCCTGTGGCACTCAGTCTGGGCTTGTGAGTCTCTCTCCCCTGTGGTGCTCACTGAGTCCCATTCTGGCTGTCTGAGACACCCAGGCTTCTCTCGTCTCTGCATGCCCAGGGGTGGGAATCTTTTTTTCTACATAGATGAGTTCAGACAACATTGGAGTTTCTAAGCTAACTTAACAAACTGGTGCTGGTGGCTTACTTCTGTGATCCTAGCTATTTAGGAGGCTGAGATCTGAGGATCAAGTTTCAAAGTCAGCCCAGGCAGGAAAGGCCATGAGACTCTTATCTCCAATTAACAACTCCAGAAAAATTAGAAGTGAACCTGTGGATCAAGTGTTAGAGAGTTAGCCTTGAGCACAAAAGGTTGGGTACAGTACCTAAGCCCTGAGTTCAAGCCCCAGGACTGGCACGACAAAATAAAAAGTTGTTAAGTCTCTTCCTTTTTTTTTTTTTGGTTGGTCGTGGGGCTTGAACTCTGGGCCTGGGTGCTGTCCCTCAGCTCTTCAGCTCAAGGTGAGCGCTCTACCGCTTGAGCCACAGCGCCACTTCCTAACTTGTTAAAAACTGAAAACAAACTCCCCAATATCTGTGAAACACCCCTTCCCCACCATTTAGTGAGGCTAACACAGATGTATGTGGCTCCCTTTCTCCATGGGAGAAGCCCTAGCTAAAACCCTCTTTTAAATTGTTGTGGTCTTTCTCCTCTCTATCCTCCAAGGGTTGGGGTAGGCCTCTGGGCAGGTTACAGAGCTGTTGTCAGACACTGCTCCAAGGCCTCTTTGCTGCCTGAAGATTCTGGGGGTACTCTCCCTTTCTGTTCCTAGAAGGTCAATCTTCAGTCTCTCCCTTTGATTCCTGCACCTGGATCCTGGGCTCCTTTCTTGAGCTCCCATACTTCTATTGCTAGCCTTCTACTAGCTCTGCATCCTCCACATCCCTCCCCCAGATCTTTCTTCATAGATATCCTCACTTGCCTGGCCAAGTCTAAACTCTCCTCCTGGAAGCAGGCCATAGTGTCCATAAGCACCTCATAGGATTGCCCATTCCTTTGGTTGGCAAGTGACCCAGTAAGGAATGCCTAAAGCCCCAACTCTAAACAGACAAAATGGTCATGGAACCAGACTGACTGATTTTATGGAACAGCAATTGATGTTCTACACCTGAGATCTTACCCTTTCTCTTTATGGGCTTGTCTTTTGCAGGTGGTGGCCGGCGCCGATATGGTCGCGCAGGAGCCAAAGGTTTTAATGCCAATCGGCGGCGGAGCCGGGCTGTGCTCTACCACCTGTCTGGTCACTTGCAGAAGCAGCCCAAGGGCAAGCACAAGCTCAATAAGGTGGATTGAGCACCAGGGTGTGTGTTTGGGTTTGGGGATTGGTGAAGGAAGATGGGGAAGGGGAACCAAGTCCACTGCAGAGGGATTACCCAGAGGGCTCCTCAGGCCCAGGATTCAGGGTGAGACTAAGGGCGAAGGAATGTCAGGGAATGACATCTGATCCATCATGTCTTGGATTGGATGGGCCTTTGTTCAATCCTGGCACCACCTAAGGCCAGCTGTTTGACTTCAGCGAAGCCATTTGATTTGCCTGGTCCTCAGTTTTCAGATCTTTGAAATGGGGTATCTAATGAGTATATCAGGGACTGCTCTGGGAGTGCAGGAAGAGAATAAAGATGGATGTCCATCTTGCCCAGTGTCTAAACTCAACCTCTGCCAATACCCTTTCCTTCCTGCCTGGACTGGCCATGCTTCACTCAGGGAGTGTTTGGAGAGAAGCCAAACTTACCCGAGTACAAAGTTGCTGCCATCCGGAAGTCACCCTTCATCCTGCTGCACTGTGGGGCACTGAGAGCCACCTGGGACGGCTTCATCCTGCTTGCCACACTCTATGTGGCTGTCACCGTGCCCTACAGCGTCTGTGTGAGCACAGCTCGGGAGCCCAGCGCGGCGCGGGGCCCGCCCAGTGTCTGTGACCTTGCCGTGGAGGTCCTTTTCATCCTTGGTACGTGTGTTTTGTATCTTCTACCCCACCCCATGCCAGGCACTCGTGGGCTTTGATGGGGGACTATCTATATGATTTTCAGTACCCCACAGTGCCTCCTGTTTGTGACCCATGAGCTTTAAAATCAGACCTCAATTCCAAACATGTCTCTGCTTCCAATGTGTTATTAGACCTTGGTCTAGTCATAGCTTCTACAAGCCTCAGTTTCTCCTTCTGTAAAATAGGCATAACAGTATGTGCCTACTAGAGTTACTGTAACAACTTCAGGTCATGTGTGTAAAGAGCCTGCAATGGGGTTAAGAATTAAGCAAAAGCTGGGCACTGGTGGCTCAAATCTGTAATCCTGTCTAGTTAGGAGGCTGAGATCTGAGGATCTCAGTTTGTAGCCATCCACGAGCCTCCTATGTCCAATTAACAACCCCAGAAAAACTAGAATTGGAGCTATGGCTCTACTTCCAAAAAAAATGGTAGAGCTGTGGCTTTAGTGGTAGAGTGCCAATCTAAGAGACAATTCTGAGGCCCTAAGTTCAAGCCCACCCACCCCCAACACACACACAGTGAGCAGGTTCCTTGTGATAAAGCTCTACTTACTATCTCTGCTTACTAACATCCACTTGGATTCCCCACAGATATTGTGCTGAATTTCCGCACCACATTTGTATCTAAGTCAGGCCAGGTGATATTTGCCCCAAAGTCCATTTGTCTCCACTATGTCACTACCTGGTTCTTGCTGGATGTCATCGCCGCTCTGCCCTTTGACCTGCTACATGCCTTCAAAGTCAACGTGGTCAGTATGGCTGGGCTAGGTGGGTGGGCTTTGGGTTGATACAGAGCTGGCCTGACATGACCTCTCTCCCCCTATCTCAGTACTTTGGGGCCCACCTGCTGAAGACCGTGCGCCTACTGCGCCTGCTGCGCCTGCTGCCACGGCTGGACCGGTACTCTCAGTACAGTGCTGTAGTACTGACCCTGCTCATGGCTGTGTTTGCCCTTCTTGCCCACTGGGTGGCCTGCGTCTGGTTCTACATAGGCCAACGGGAGATTGAGAGCAGCGAATCGGAACTTCCAGAAATTGGTACTGAGGCAGGGGGGTGGGAGCTTTCATGCCAGAGGAGTGATGCCAGTGTCTGTCAAGGAGTGTGCAAGTGTGTGTGATGGCCACCATTACATGGCGACTGCTATGGCGATAGCTTGGCAGGCTTCGTGGGGAGCCCCCGTTACCCATCATGTCCTCTTGGTGATCCAACCTTTCTCACATTCCTTAAGCTCTGGCCCAGCTGTGAAGGGCACCCCAGGAGCTGCAGCATTCACAGCTTCCTCTGATGCCACTTTCTCTCAAGTTTGTCCCCTACTACCTTGGCTTCCCAGGCCCTGGTCCTACTTTAGTCTCCTGGGACCTACATCTGTCTCCCTGGAGCACCAACAGCCACTTCCTCCTTGAGCCTAAAAGGCAGCCTTTTCTGCATCCCCAGCATCTTCTCTCTCCTTCATTTCACCTCCTGCTGCGGCTCCTCCCTCTGCTCACCACCCACTCAGCCTTAACTCCTGCTAAGAGGGCTTCCACCCCCACCTCTCTCGCTAGAATGTCTCCGGAAGGTTGTGATGACCTTCTGGGGCCAAACTTTGGTTCTTGGTGAAGTTGCTATAGCACCCAAACCTGCCAGCCACATATTCCTCTTGCCAAGTGAGGTGTAGCCCGGGGCTGAGCTCATCTGAGTTCCATGGACTCCTGAAGGCTTTCTTTCTCACCTGTCTTTTTCCCTGGCCATCCCACCAAGATATACGATAGAAATCTCTCTCTCTTTTTACCTCCTTTCCCTTATCAGAACCATGTTGTTCCAGCTATTTCCAAGCCCTTCTACACTATGTCAGCTTCATAGTAACTGACAGTTTTTACCTGCTCAGGTGGCCTCTGTGGGGGTCTGCTCCTTGGTGGGAGTCAATCTTGGAAACCCATTCTTATCAGTTCCCCCAGGATGCCAAGGCACCTGTGAATCCTTTCCTCTTGCCACATGCTCAGAGACTTGCAGATGCCCAGAGGGCCCACTTGGCTATTCCTCTGAGGGCTCTAGTTGCTGAGCATGCAGAAACCCAGACACTCTGGCAATGTCAGTTCTTTGGCACCTATCCTTCCCAGAGGTACTCTGTAGTAGATCTAGGCTGCTGTGGGGTCAGCATATTTCCTGACCTCTCACTGTCTCCTCCCAACTTACCTGGCACACCAAATTTCCAGGTTAGCCCTCACCCCCTACAATAGGCACAGACACTCTGGCTCTTGAGATTACAAGGTTCCTTTGTTCCCACTATTGCATGGGATTTACTGATCTGATAGCAAGAATAGGACACTGTGTCAAACTCTTATAATCCCAGCTACTTGGTAAGCTGAGGCAGGAAAGTTCAAGGCCAGCCTGGGCAACTTAGGGACACCTTGTCTCAAAGAGGCCAGAGATAGGGGCTGGGAAGGTGGCTCAGTGGTAGAGTGCTTGCCTTGCATGCATGAGGCCCTGGGTTCGATTCCTCAGCAACACATAAGCAGAAAAAAAGCCGGAAGTGGCTCAAGTGGTAGAATGCTAGCCTTGAGCTGAAGAGCTGAGGGACAGCGCCCAGGCCCTTGCTTGGCCCTGGATTCAATCAACAATCCGAGGAGGAGGAAGAGGAGGAGGAGGAGGAGGAGGAGGAGGAGGAGGAATCGACCCAACCATAATAAGCATGTTGATCATGGAGGAGGAAGAGGAGGAGGAGGAGGAATCGGCTCAACCATGATAAGCATGGTTGTCATGGAGGAGGAGGAGGAGGAGGATGGACCCAACCATGATAAGCATGTGATCATGGAGGAGGAGGAGGAGGAGGATTGAAACAACCATGATAAGCATGTGATCATGGAGGAGGAGGAGGAGGAGGAGGAGGAGGAGGAGGAGGAGGAGGAGGAGGAGGATCGACCCAACCATGATAAGCATGGTGATCATGGAGGAGGAGGAGGAGGATGGACCCAACCATGATAAGCATGTGATCATGGAGGAGGAGGAGGAGGAGGAGGAGGAGGATCGAAACAACCATGATAAGCATGTGATCATGGAGGAGGAGGAGGAGGAGGAGGAGGAGGAGGATCGAAACAACCATGATAAGCATGGTGATCATGGAGGAGGAGGAGGAGGAGGATCGAAACAACCATGATAAGCATGTGATCATGGAGGAGGAGGAGGAGGAGGAGGATCGAAACAACCATGATAAGCATGTGACCATGGAGGAGGAGGAGGAGGAGGATCGACCCAACCATGATAAGCATAGTGGTCATGGAGGAGGAGGAGGAGGAGGAGGAGGAGGATCGACCGAACCATGATAAGCATGGTGATCATGGAGGAGGAGGAGGAGGAGAAGGAGGAGGAGGGACCCAACCATGATAAGCATGGTGATGGAGGAGGAGGAGGAGGAGGATCGACCCAACCATGATAAGCATGGTGATGGAGGAGGAGGAGGAGGATGGACCCAACCATGATAAGCATGGTGATCATGGAGGAGGAGGAGGAGGAGGAGGATGGACCCAACCATGATAAGCATGGTGATCATGGAGGAGGAGGAGGAGGAGGAGGAGGATCGACCCAACCATGATAAGCATGGTGATCATGGAGGAGGAGGAGGAGGAGGAGGAGGATCGACCCAACCATGATAAGCATGGTGATCATGGAGGAGGAGGAGGAGGAGGAGGAGGAGGAGGAATCGACCCAACCATGATAAGCATGGTGATCATGGTGATGACTGGCTGATGACTTTTTTTTGTTGTTGTTAGTCCTGAGGGGCTTGAATTCAGGGCCTGGATGCTTTCCCTGAGCTTTTTTGCTCAATGTTAGTGCTCTACCATTTGGAACCACAGTACCATTTCTGGTTTTCTGGTGATTAATTGGAGATAAGAGTCTCACAGATTTTCCAGCCCAGGCTGGTTCTGAAAGACCATGATCCTCAGATCTCATCCTCCTGAGTAGCTAGGATTATAGGCATGAGCCACCCCGTGCCCCTTAGCTGATGATTCTTGATAATTCTTCCTCTGTTGGCCCCTGAGTTCCACTGTTGACTCCTGTGTTCCAATGTTGACTCCTGTTTAGAGCTAGTACCCATCCACATTTAGAGTTTTCAGGTTCTTCATATCATCATCTTCCCCTTCCTCCTCTAGGGAAACTGCTCCCCCAACTGGGTTGATACCAAAGCCTAGTGTCCCTTGAGTCCAGCCTTGAGGAGACCCTTGTGGGGGAGGTGAGGCTGGGAGTGGGTGCTGCTAGCCAGTTTTGTCTGCTAGGAGAAACTTCTGTGTGCTTCCTTGGTCCCAGATTCCACTGCCCGTAGTTCCTTACCCATTCACTGTGCACTTAGCCCATTGGAGAGGGGCTGAGTGCTCAAATGCGCTAAATACTAAAAGAGACAGCTCTGTCAAAACCATCAGCTTCAACAGCAGCCCTGGCTAGCCTGACTCTTTCTTGTGCAGAGGCTCCATTCTGGCATTAGCTCCAGGGCTCTTATGTCCCATGGCCAAGATTGAAAGAAGAGAAACCCCTGCCATCCTCATCTCTGTCTTGTTTTCTACCATTCCATGCCGACCTCATGTAGTTTATGAAAGTCTCCTCTAAATTTGGCTCAGTGCCTGTGCCCTTCCCTGATTAGGCATGACCCTCTCTTGATTTCTCTGTACCAAAACCCTTCCTTTTCCTTGAGATCAAGCAACTTTGTCTCCTTTTGAAGAAGCCCTTTAGCCCTGACCAGAGCATTTAGGTTCGAGCCCCCTTCTGTGGTGCCTCTGGAGCATCGCTCTTGACCTACAGTGGTCATGTGCCCCTCTGCACTGGAGCCTCCAGGAAGCGCCTGGCCTAGTGGGGTGGATGAGTCCAGGGGTGTGGGGAACACATGACACAAGCAGAAGGTGTTGGGGGGAGTGTGGCACACAGTTCTCCTTCAGCCTGCTGTACTTGCCTTCAGCCAATCTCCCTCTTCCAATGGCCTCCACCCAGCACTCTAGACCTTCCACAGGGGGCTTTTGGCAGTCATGGGCTTGTGAAAGACTTCTGGTACCCAGCTTTACCTTCTGCCAAGACATGGGGTTGAAGGGTATGAGACAAAATCAGCCTCTGCCCACCCTCCAGCCCATTCAGGCTAGCATGTGTATGTATGTGCACACATGCCCAAGTGCACAGGAAGGGACCAGCCTACAGCCTGTTTGCACATGCACCCCACCCTCCCACATGTCCATGCTCAAGTTCCCCATCTCATTGTCTCTCTCAAATGTGCATAGGCCTTTTCCGAGTGAGTAACCATGGTTGTGTCTGGCATCTGTAGAATGCTCACATGTGGGTCCTTGTTTTCTTGATTGTGTGGGATACTCCTCTGCCATATCTGTGTGTGCTCCCATCCTTCTAGAGATTGGATGGTTTGTGTGGATGTGGGGAGGGTTGAGGCTGAACAGGGCGGGGAGAGGAGGCTTGCAGGAGCAGGTGGCTTAGTGTAGAAGAGGTGGCTTCAGCCATCCAGACCTGAGGGCCAGTCTGTGGCTGAATGCAGGAAGTATCACTTCCTCTCCAGTCTCTTTGCCCCTCTAGCTAACCCATCCTTCTGGCTCATTACCAGAGATCGGTGTCTGAAATTGGGAAAGAGGCTGAGTCTCCTTGTTCCACCTGCAGCGCGAGGAAGACTGAGCTGGGGAGGTGGCTTCTCTGTGCTTGTCCTGCTGAGGGCTGATGAGACTTACAGGAGTGTGGTGGGCTGGCAGAGGGGGGTTGGAGGGCACAAGGATGTCTCCCACCCTCAGGATATCTGCACCTTTAAAGCAACCCTATATATTGCCCTGACTGAAGCCTGCCCCTTCCTCCCTCCCTAGGCTGGCTGCAGGAGTTGGCCCGACGACTGGAGACCCCCTACTACCTGGTAGGCCGGAGCCCTATTGGAGGGAACAGCTCTGGGCAGAGTGATAACTGCAGTAGCAGCAGCACGGAGGCCAATGGGACAAGTCTGGAGCTCCTGGGTGGCCCGTCACTGCGTAGTGCCTACATCACCTCCCTCTACTTCGCACTCAGCAGCCTCACCAGTGTGGGCTTTGGCAACGTGTCTGCCAACACAGACACTGAGAAGATCTTCTCCATTTGCACCATGCTCATTGGTGGTGAGGCGGAGTGGGGCGGGTCTTCTAGGACATTTTCCAGCCTGTAGACCCAGGGTCTTCTCCCTTCTCACCTTCCTGGAAGCAAATGATTTGCCCTGGGCTGGGAGAGATACCATGCTACACAAGGTTTGAGTGCCCTGCCTAGGAGTGTCAGGGTAGGGAGGAAGCAGAGGACAGGTGTGCCCAGCATGGCAAAAGGATGTGCCAAGCCAGATTCTTTTTTGTGTGTATGCCAGTCCTGTGGCTTGAACTCCGGTCCTGAGCACTGTCTCTGTGCTTCTTTGTTCAAAGACAGTGCTCTACCACTTGAGCCACAGCTCTTCTTATGGCTCTTTGGGAAGTTAATTGGCGATAAGAATCTCATAGGCCAGGCTGGCCTCAAACCTTGATCCTTAGACCTCAGCCTCCTGAGTAGTTAGGGTTTACAGGTGGAGCCACTGGTGCCTGGCACCAAGCCAAATTCTAAAAGGCCTGTAGATGACCTTCTTGCCATCCTTCCCAGCCCTGATGCACGCAGTAGTATTTGGGAACGTGACGGCCATCATCCAGCGCATGTACGCCCGCCGCTTTCTGTACCACAGCCGTACCCGTGACCTGCGAGACTACATCCGCATCCATCGCATCCCTAAGCCCCTCAAGCAGCGCATGCTGGAGTACTTCCAGGCCACGTGGGCCGTGAACAATGGCATCGACACCACTGAGGTGTGCTGGGGCCTCCTGGCCCTTCCACTTTTTTTCTCTTGAAGGGTTCATACTTAACCTGAAGGATCAGAGTGGGGTGAGTGAAGAAAGCAGAGCTTTGGTTCCCTTGAAGGGACAGCATCATGGGACAGGGCAACCAAGAAGGCTTGGAGGCCATTCTCAGCCCCTACTAGGTCTGTGAGCTCTGTCTGTGCTCCCTGATGTGTGAGCCTGAGGCCTGGAAGAGCAAAAGGGCAGTTCAAGGGGACTAAAGGGACTATCAGGGACACTGAAGCAGCACCCCCTGGTGGCTGCAACCTGTGCCACTTGACACTGTACAGGAGGCTTTGGGGCTGTCCTTGCTCCTGAGGCTGGCTAGGGTATAGACAAGGCTGGCTGGAGGGGGTTTGCTCTTCTGCCATCCACAACAATCCCTGCCTGCTTACCTGCAGCTGCTGCAGAGCCTTCCAGATGAGCTTCGTGCAGATATCGCCATGCACCTGCACAAGGAGGTCTTGCAGCTACCGCTGTTTGAGGCCGCAAGCCGAGGCTGCCTACGGGCACTGTCCCTAGCTCTGCGGCCTGCCTTCTGCACACCTGGCGAGTACCTCATCCACCAAGGCGATGCTCTCCAGGCCCTCTACTTTGTCTGCTCCGGCTCCATGGAAGTGCTCAAGGGTGGCACCGTGCTTGCCATCCTAGGTTTGTGTGGGTCATAGAGGGTATGAGGGCTCATGGATGGATAGGGGGCATGCTCCTGATCTGCAGAATGTTGAGGACAGTCTTTTAAGAGGACTCAATATATGAGGGGATAAGAGCAAGTAACACTTCCAATAAACATGAAGATTGCTGGGTGCTGTTGGCTCATGCCTGAAATCCTAGCTACTTAGGAGGCTGAGATATGAGGATCACAGTTCGAAGCAAGCCTGGGAAGGAAAGTTTGTGAGACTCCTATCTCCAAAACAAAAACTACAAAGAAGAAAGAAGGAGGAGGGGGAAGAGGAGAAGGAGGAGGAGGAGGAGGGAGGCGGCGGCAGCTGGAAGTGAAGCTGTGGCTCAAGTGGTACAGTGCTAGCCTTGAGCAAAAGAAGCTCAGGGACAGCACTTGAGTTCAAGCCCTAGGACTGGCAAAAAACAGATAAAGAAAAAAAAACAGGGCTGGGAAAGTGGCTCAGTGGTAGAGCACTTGCCTTGCATGCATGAGGCCCTGGGTTCGATTCCCCAGCACCACATAAACAAAAAGCAAAAAAAAAAAAAAAAGCCGGAAGTGGCGCTGTAGCTCAAGTGGTAGAGCGCTTGCCTTGAGCTGAAGAGCTGAGGGACAGCGCCCAAGCCCAGAGTTCAAGCCCCATGACCAGACCCCCCCCCCAAAAAAAAAAAAAAAACCAAGCATAATAGTAATTCTAGCTTCTCTGGAAATGGAGGAAACACAGTTAGGAAGATCCCATGCCTAAATACAAGCTATTGTCTAAAAACTAAAGCAAAAAGGGCTTGGGGGTCTAGGCTTAAGTGGTAGAATGTCTGTCTAGCAAGCACAAGGCCCTAAGTTCAATCTCCAGTACCACCAAAAAAGAAAAGAAAAGAAAAGAAAGAAAGCAAACCCCCATGGATTTAGGCAGGTGCAGCTATTATTGTGAAGAGGAGGCAGTGAGGACTGGGAATGGTGAAGGCACTCAGCAGCCTGATACTTTCATTGGGCTACACACGGCACTAAACACTGGTCCCTGGACAATCTATACATGAATCACTTAAAACTTCAAAAACAAAATTAGATTTTTGGGGGGTGCAGGTCGGGGCCTTGAACACCCGGCCTTGGCACTGTTCTTGATCTCCTTTTGCTCAAGGCTAGTGCTCTACCACTTAAGCCACAGCTTCACGTCAGGCTTTTTCTGTGATTAATTGGAGATGAGTCTCACGGCCTTTCCTGCCCAGGCTAGCTTTGAACCATGATCTTCAGATTTCAGTCTCCTTAGTAGCTAGGAGTACAGGCATGAGGCACCAGTGCCCAGCCAAAATCAGATTTTGAGATCTCCTGTATATACTACAAAGAAAAATGTTGAGATGGTGCCTGAGAGATTGACTGACTTAACTAACACACTATTTTTGAACCACTAGAACTGATGAGTGTTCAGGCTAAGAGCTAAGATGTAGAAGTTTTGGTTCCAGATGCAGTTGGGGAAGTTGATCATGGATATATTCGAGAACCTGGAGCCCAAAGCTCTTCACTCAAATCCAGTGAGGCAGGGAACAGGAGTAGTTAGGCCATAAGCTAAGCTTCTCTGTGTCTTCCTGCCCCTTGAAAGCTTCACATTGGGAGATGGGTGACCCACCTCCCCTTTCCCAGCAGTTAAGGGTCAGGGCTTGCTGACCTCTACTTTCTCTCCCCAGGAAAGGGCGATCTGATTGGTTGTGAGCTGCCCCAGCGAGAGCAGGTGGTAAAGGCCAATGCTGATGTCAAAGGTCTGACATACTGCGTGCTACAGTGTCTGCAGCTGGCTGGGCTGCATGAGAGCCTTGCACTGTATCCTGAGTTTGCCCCACGCTTCAGCCGTGGCCTCCGAGGGGAGCTCAGCTACAACTTGGGTGCTGGAGGCTCTGCGGAGGTGAGGGTGCTGGGTATGTGCGTAGGGAGGCTGGGGTGATGGAGCTGATGAGGATAGGGCTGGGAAAGGCATGGCATGCTATGAAAGCCTTATTTTTTTGTTTAACTCTATTATTATTTTTTTGGGTACCAGTCGAGGAGCTTGAACTCAAGACCTGAGTGCTCCTCCTGAGCATTTTTTTGCTCAAGAGTGGTGCTCTACTACTTAAGCCAACACTCTACTTTTGGCTTCTTTGGTGATTAATTGGAGCTAAGACCTCCCTGACTTTCCTGTCTGGGTTGGCTTTGAACAAGCATGAGCCACTAACGCCCAGCCACACTGCCTTTTAAAAGCTGTCCTAGCTGTACTTAGCCATCCCTCTTAGCCACCCCATGTGAGACACCCTGGCTCAGTTCAGAGCAAAGTTTTAGGTGAAGGGAGCTGAATGGTTCTAGTTCTGCTGAACTTTGGGGTTTATGTCAATACTTCCAAACCAGTGTGTGTGTGTGTGTGTGTGTGTGTGTGTGTGTGTGTGTGTGTGTGTGTGTGTGTGTGTTGGTTTGAGCACTGTCTCTTGGCTTTATCACTCAAGAATGCTATTCTAACACTTTGGTAACAGCTCTACCTTAGGCTTTTGGGTGGTATTTTTGTTGTTGCTGTTGTATCAGTCCTGGGGCTTGAATTCAGGGTCTGGGAGCTGTTCCTAAGCATTTTTGCTAAAAACAAAACTACCACTTGAGCCACACCTCCACTTCTGGCTTTTTGATGGTTAATTGGAGATAAGAGTCTCATGAACTTTCCTACCTGGGCTGGGTTTGAACCTCTTAACCTCCTGAGTAGTATTACAGGTGTGAGCCACCAGCACCTGGTCACAAATAGTTTTTCAATATTGCATACTCTTGGATAGTTCTGCTAGCCTGAAGACCAAGAGGGGTAGTATGTCCAGTTTGGTGGAATATTGAGGGGCAGCTAATGCCTTCTGAGCTTGGTAGCCTCATGTGGCAACCGACATGTGGGTCAGCTCCTCTTGACTAGGCCTCTTTCTCTAGCAGGTGGGGAATCTCCGGCCCACAAGCTGTATGAGGCCTGCAAAGTCATTTCTCCTCAGCTCTCTGTGGCCCGTCTATTTGTATTGATAATTTTTTTTTTTTTTTTGTCGGTGTGGGGCTTGAACTCTGGGCCTGGGCGCTGTTCCTCAGCTCTTCAGCTCAAGGCAAGTGCTGTACCACTTGAGCTGCAGCGCCACTTCTGGTTTTCTAGTGGTTTATTGGAGATAGGAGTCTCACGGTCTTTCCTGCCTGGGCTGGCTTTGAACCGAGATCCTCAGATCTCAGCCACCTGAGTAGCTAGGCTTACAGGCGTGAGCCACCAGCACCCAGCTGTATTGATAATTTTGTGTGACCTTTAATGATGTTACAAATATCCAAATGGCCCCCGGTTGCAGTAATTGGTTATTGTGTTTAATAAAGATGGCTCGTTTGTTCTAGGGGACACTATGGCTTGACTGAGATACAGCAGGGGCCATCCACATCAATTCCCTGTCCCCCACTATCTACAGGTGGATACCAGCTCCTTGAGTGGGGATAACACACTCATGTCTACACTGGAGGAGAAGGAGACAGATGGGGAGCAGGGCCCCACAGCCTCCCCTGCCCCAGCAGATGAGCCTTCCAGCCCCCTCTTGTCCCCTGGTTGCACTTCTTCATCCTCAGCTGCTAAGCTGCTGTCTCCACGTCGAACTGCACCCCGACCTCGTTTAGGTGGCAGAGGGAGGCCAAGCAGGGCAGGGGCTTTGAAAGCTGAGGCTGGGCCTTCTCACCCACGGAAACTAGAAGGGCTGCAGCTGCCCCACATGCCATGGAATGTACCCCCGGATCTGAGCCCCAGGTGAGCAGGCCCTGGACCCCCATGGCAGGAAGGTGGTGATAATATACCAGCTGGTATATCCCTACCCTGAGCCTGAGCCCTGCCTCCCATTTTCACACTTTTTTTTAGAGACAGTCTGGCTATGTAGCCTAGGCTGGCCTTGAACTCTAAACCTCCTGCCTCAGTCTCCTGAGTACTGGGATCACTGGTGTACACAACTGGACCCAGTTCTATCCTCCCAGCCTGCATGGTCCAAGTCTGATTCCTCCAGGAATTTTTCCAAACTGTTCCATTTCCTGTTGGTATAAAGTTTACCCTGCTCTGAACTCTTGAGTTTTGTACTTAAACTTGCTTCTTGAGCTAAAATACAAACATGGAAACTAGACATTAGCTTTCTCTTGTGACCTTCAGGTGCTTGAAGCTACTGGTGCCTTTATGTGTGGATACCAAAGCATCTTGTCCCCTATAGTACAATGGTTGCCTGTCAACTGATTTGTTGTTCTGTTTTCCACAGGGTTGTAGATGGCATTGAGGATGGCTGTGGCTCTGACCAACCCAAGTTCTCTTTCCGAGTGGGTCAATCTGGCCCAGAATGTAGCAGCAGCCCCTCCCCTGGACCAGGTACTGAGCTTAGGACAGAATATGTTGGTGGGGTGGCCCTTTGCCCTGTGGGCCTTTGAGCATATTAGAGAAGTGGCAGAGGGCAAATTGGCCTTGGAAGCCTCTTGCCCTCGCTTATATCTGTGTCATTTGCATGGGGCTTTGGTAGTGAAGTCTAGCTTGGGACCAGGTATTAGCCTTCTGGCTATTGAACTTCACATCTCTAGCCCAGCTGTTTTTGTGTTGAGTAAGAAATTGTAAATTTTGGGCAAGGTGGTGCAAGCATTAATCCTAGTTTCTTGGGATGTGGTGTGACCAGCCCAGACAGAAAAGCTCACAAGACTCCTAATGTGCTGCGAACAGTGTATTGTCCATGCTCAATCCTCAGCAACATAAGGAGGCACAAGTAGCCTCCAGGCTCACCAGGGCATAAATCGAAACTCTACCTCAAAAATAATGGAAAGGGAGGCTAGAGGCAGCAAAGCCAAGGTTGAGCTCAAAAAAAAAAAAAAAAAAAAAAAGGTATAAAACTATTAGGACAATGTCTGGCTCACAGAGGGACAAAGGGCAGCGGAACTAGGGTTGAAAGTAGACAAAGCTCCCAGTAATGTCCATCTCCCTGCAGGAGAGAACAAGGGACAGGCACAAAGAACAATTTCCTGAGGGAGGAGAGTGCTGAGTGTTGGGACTCAGGGCTTCTGGGAGGGGGTTTCTTGCCCTTGGCACTTTGAACAGCAGAAGGGGGTTGCTGCTAGAGTCTGGTCCTGCCTGATCAAAGTGATCTATTCTTATGTGATCAGGACCTGGATCCAACACTGCCTGCCTTGTGCAAGGCCTGGTTGATAAGCCCACGCTCTCCACAGAAAGTGGCCTGCTTACGGTTCCACTTGGACCCACTGAGGCGAGGAGCACAGACACACTGGACAAGCTGCAGAAGGCGGTGGGTGAGGGCGGGGTGAGGGCAGGGAGGGGAAGGGCAGGGGCTTCTGTGCTGTGGAATGGCTGACACACTGGCCTCACCTCCTCCTCACTCTGAAGGTGATGGAACTATCTGAGCAAGTGCTGCAGATGCGGGAAGGGCTGCAGTCACTCAGACAGGCTGTGCAGCTCGCCTTGGTGCCCCAGGGGGAAGTCCCATGTCCTCGAGCATCAGGAGAGGGGCCATGCCCAGCCAGCATTTCTGGGCTCCTGCAGCCTCTGCGTGTGGACACTGGAGCATCCTCCTACTGCCTGCAGCCATCAGCTGGCTCTGTTTTAAGTGGGACCTGGCCCCATGCTCACTCAGGTCCCCCTCCTCTCATGGCACCCTGGCCCTGGGGTCCTCCAGCATCCCAGAGCTCCCCTTGGCCTCGATCCACGACTTTATGGACCTCCACCTCAGAATCAGAGCCCCCTGGCTCTGGAGAACTGTGCTCTGAACCCAGCACCCCGGCCTCACCCCCTCCTGAGGAAGGGACCAGGACTGGGCCCCCAGAGCCAGTGAGCCAGGCTGAGGCTGCCAGCACTGGAGAGCCCCCACCAGGGACTGGGAGCCAGGCCTTGCCCTGGGACCCCCACAGTCTAGAGATGGTGCTTATTGGCTGCCACGGCTCTGGCACAGTCCAGTGGACCCAGGAAGAAGGCACAGGGGTCTGATTGCCAGCCCAAGTTCAGTACTGCAGACACTAGTACCTGTCTAACCTCAGGACTCTAAGCTGATCAATGGCTCGAGACAGTTGCTGGAGAAGAGGGCTTGGCGCTGGACCTCAAGGGTATGCTAGGGCCTTGAGGAGTCCACAGGTCCGACTTCTGGGCCCCTCCTCTGCCTGCTTCACTGACCACCTCATCCTGCTTTGCAGGCTGCAGGCAGAGAACAAGGAGGAGCTCTGCTGTCCCTTGCATGTGCCCGTCTCTACCTGTCCTTACATTTTTTTTTATATTAAAAAAATAAAAGAAAGTACTTTGGAACTCGGGTACATCTTTATTTACAAAAAATGAAAACAATAAAGGACAAGTGTGAAGCCAATCCGCTGGAGATAGGAGTGAGGATGGCAAATCGGGGAGAGGGGATGGTCTGTGGAGAGGCAGGGAGGGGCTCTGGCTCTAGGGAGGCATAAGGGTTCCAGCCTCTCCTGGCTTCCCATGGCCAGCCCACCCTGCCTCAAAGGTTCAAGTCAATGGGCCAGCAGCTGGACTTCCCACTATCCACTCTGGGCAGAAGAATTTTCCAGAAGCCTGAGTTCTCAGCTCAAGGGACTGGAATGATAAGGAAAACTGAGGCCAGAGAGAGCCCCAGTTCCTGCTACCATTCCTCACTGTGGTGTGATCTTGGCAGCCTCAGCCCGGATAAGGGCAATGAGGTCCTGGTTGATGAGGAAGACGAAGCGCAGGCTAGCGATCTGAGTAGAAGAAAGAGGTGGCTCAGGACAAAGGTAGGACCAGGACCACAGACCAGTTTGCCACCCTCCAGGTAAGAAACCCTGGCCTCCACCTCCCTCCCAACTCACCTCCACTACAGAGTTGTTACTGAGGCGCCACTTGGAGCCACACAGCACAGGCCGGCCGTCAATATAGATGGGCCGTCGGCCCTCATTGGCAATGAAAAAGTCTCCATTATTCTTCAGCTTGATGACACCTGTGGGGCAGAGAGGAAAAGGGAAGAGGGAAGGTCAGAAGACAGCCAGAAGCCTATAGGTCCATCTGCTTCCTTGGGACAGGGGCAGCAAGAAGGAACCTAGGAGTTAAGAGATCTGACCACCTCAACTGGTCCATGTGGGTTCCCCTCAGACTCAAAGTCCCAGGGCAGGAAAAGGCAGTCAGAGGCTAGATAAATACCTCAACATGGCTTCTCACTTGACAGTAGGGTGAGGGGTACCTTGCTTGCGGGAGATCTTCCAGGCTGGACCTTCCAGGGACAAGTCCACATCAATCTGGTTATCCTTGGTAGCTCTGCCCAAGGTGATCTGGAGAAATTGGGCAAGTGAGGGCTTGGCCCTGAGCAATAGGGTGTGGAGGTCCATGCTGGCCAGTAAGAGAGGATGAGGAACCAAGGACTAGACAAAGGGCAGTGACAGGAGGGACTCATAGTCCAGGAAGGGCCAGGGAGGGACTGCCTCACCTCTCGTGAGCGCATCAGGTACCGCACCATGCGGCCTCGCAGCACTGCCAGTGTCTGGTTGTCAAAGTCCGGAGAACTCATGCCTGGGGGAACAGCAGGGTTAGGAGGAGCCCATTTGAGGGCATGGGTGAAAGGTGGAGAACAGGCAAGGTCTATGAGTGACAGGAGTTGGAGCCTGGGAAATGGCCAGCTAGGCAACAAAAGGGATATGGCAAGGTGAAGGATACTGAAGGGTGCACCTGTCAGGGCCCTGGCCTCCTCACCTGTAATGCTGTCTACTAGCACCTGCCACTTATGCAGCTCCTGCTCCAGCTGTCGGATCTCTCTCTTCTGGCGTCGGTCAGCCACTGTCAACTCTGAGGTGAGGTGAAGCAGAGGGGTGAGGAAGACACTTTGAGGCTACCAGCATCTGGTACTGGTTCTGGTCCTCTCCACTCAAGGAGCTTCTACCCTCACCCCATCAGTGTGTACTCACCATGTTCCAGGACCTCATCTCGCATGTCCCTGAGGTAGGAAAAGGATAAATCAGGCCCAGTGCCAGCTCACCTGCTTCTCAGCTTCTCTAAACCCCCTTCAACCAAGCAGCCTAGAAGGCTGTTGGGCCGTGGCTGAACCATCTTCTCCAGGGTTGGGGTGGGGAAAAGGAGAAGGCAGCAAGCCTAAGTGATTCCCATGGAGTGGGTGTGGCAGTGACCGTGGGCCCAGCAGCTATAATGTGAGCCAGCTGGGCAGCCAGGGTGCCCTACCAACTGAATATGGCACTCTCCATCCCACCTACAGCCATAGCTACTCACTTGAGTTTACTGTCGTCAATCAGGTCCTCTGCGTCAGAGAAGTTCAGCACTTGGTCCCCCTTGGGCAGTGGCTGCACTGAACAAACAACAGAGAGGTGAGTGTCAAGGGTCCTACTCCAGTGCTAGCTGCTGAGCAGAAATAGCCAGAAATGGAAAGGAGTGTGGTCCTGATTCGGCACAAAGTATCCTGCACTTACTTGGAGGCTGAGATGGTTCTGTCCATGAAAGGAAATTAAAACTGGCTTTTGCCAAGGGCTCCTGAGCATGTGAAAGGCTCTGCATTACAGCTTTGCACTGACAGCATGGGAGACATTACACCTTAGTTCCATTTTACAGATAAGGAAACAGATTCAGGAGGGTGGTTTAAACCAACTGACTCTAGTTTGAGCACAGCTAGCATTCAGATTCTGTGCTTCAGCTTTTCCTGCTATGCTGAAGGCTGAGAAGTCTATGCCACTGGGAAATATGTGCCAGTGGGAGCTGCCCCACCTCAAACCAGCACTGTTCAATGTGCAGGTCATGACCTGCTCAATGGTCATGATTTATTTAAAGAATGATTTTTTTTTTTTTTTTTGCTGGTCTGGGGCCTGAACTCTGGGCCTGGGCACTGTTCCTCAGCTCTTCAGCTCAAGGCTAGTCCTCTACCACTTGAGCCACAGAACAACTTATGGCTTTTTTTGCTTATGTGATTCTGAGGAATCGAACCTAGGGCTTCATGCATGCAAGGCAAGCACTCTACCATTGAGCCACTTTCCGAGATTCTTTTTTTTTTTTTTTTGTCAGTCGTGGGGCTTGAACTCTGGGCTTGGGAGCTATCCCTCAGCTCTTCAGCTCAAGGCAAGCGCTCTACCGCTTGAGCCACAGCGCCATGTCTGGCTTTCTAGTGGCTTATTGGAGATAAGAGTCTCATGGACTTTCCTTCCTGGGCTGACTTTGAACTGTGATCCTCAGATCTCAGCCTCCTGAGTAGCTTGGATTACAGGCATGAGCCACCGACACCAGGCTTAACAATGAGATTCTTAAGAATGTAATTAAATAGGACAATGAATATTAGAGACCACTGAATATGTTCAGAATATTGTTTCATGGAAAGTTTTTTCTTTCTTTTTTTTTTTGAGTCGGGTCGTGGGCCTGAACTCTGGGCCTGGGTGCTGTCCCTCAGCTCTTCTACCACTTGAGCCACAGCACCACTTCCAGCTTTTTTTCCCCCTGCTTATGTGGTGCTGAGGAATCGAATCCAAGGCCTCATTCATGCAAGGCAAACGCTCTACCACTGAGCCACCTACCCAGCCCAGTTTTTCTTTTTAAAAGAAATTTCCTAGTGAGCATACATAGGGTGCCCAGAATCTGAGAATAAAAAAACTTTTGGCCTGCTGCACTGAGACTGCAGTGCTGCTCTGTAGCAAGTGACAGCTAAGGGAAGGAGCTACACAGGAGCCATATATGCTCCTTTTACTATGCCCCTTAGGTAAGACTGTGTGGGAGAGGAGTGGGGTGCTCATCCCCACTAAGCTCCTCTCCTTCAGGAAATCTTGAGCCTAATGTGCAACTGACTTTCCAGCTTGCAGACCAGGGACTTCCAGCTCTAAGCAGTAAAGGATACACTAAATCTCCACATATAGAGATTCATGGAAGAAAAAAAAAATATAACCTTTAAGATAAAGCTTTCAGTTAACAAAATAACTTCCAAAATAGTGATAAAGGGGCCAGCTTTAGCAATAAAAATAAATTCATCCAGTGAACATTCGCTCGGAGATGATAGATGAGGCTGGGAAAGAAGCAGCATTCAAGAAGCTGCAAGAATGGGTGGCACTGGACCACAAAAACCAAAGGTCCCTAGGGGTGAGGCAGATTTCTACAATCTTTCCTGGAAGCAGGGTGAAGGGCACAGAACAGTACGAGTTTTCAGAATTTTCAGAATGGTATGAAAAACTATGTGGAACAGAGCAGGCAGTAGCACCGAGGCAGAAAGAGCAGAACTGCACTGTGGACATCAGAATCTCACTGCAGGATTTCTGAAGTTCAGCCTGCTTTCAAGTATTGGCTGGTGAAAGTAGAGGGGCAGCCCCTGGGGAAGGTGAAGTCTCAGTGACAGCCTGAGGACTGCTGGACAGTACAGACTTTGTGGTGGGAAGAGAGGAAAAAGAACAGGGACAGCAATTGGCAGGAAAGCTTAGAAAAAGTAGTTATCTTTAGGTTGGTTAAAAAGGGGAAAGATGAATAGACATGGAGACTTGTATATTTTGCTCCTGTCTGAATGTTATCCATAAAGAATATACTAGGCTGGGTACCAGTAGCTCATGCCTATAATCCTAACTACTCAAGAGGCAGAGATCTGGAGGATCACAGTTGGAGGCTACCTAGATGAAAAATTCAGGAGATCCCATCTCAACCAAGAGCTGTCATCCAAGCTACATAGACAGTTGAGATCGGGGAGAATCATAAATTCAGGCCAGCTCAGACAAAGAAGTCCATGCACCTGTCACCCCAGCTATGGTGAGAAGTATAAATAGGAATTATAGTCCAGTCCTATTCCTAAGGCAGGAATAATAATGAGAGCAAAAAGGGCTAAAGGTAGCTCAAGCAGTAGAGCACTTGCCTCACAAGGGCAAAGCCCTGAGTCCAATGACAGTTTTGCCTATATACCATATACATGCATATAGACATATACTATTTTTAATTTTATGTTATATTTTTTTGTCAGTCATGGGGCTTGAACTCTGGGTGCTGTCTCTGAGCTCTTCAGCTCAAGGCTAGTACTCTACCACTTGAGCCACAGTGCCACTTCCCATTTTCTAGTTGTTTATTGGAGATAAGAGTCTCACGGAGCCGGACACCAGTGGCTCACACCTGTAATCCTAGCTACCCAGGAGGCTGATATCTGAGGATGGCGGTTCAAAGCCAGCCTGGGCAGGTGCTGTGGCTCAAGGGGTATGGCGCTTGCCTTGAGCTGAAGAGTGCAGGGACAGCACCCCAAGCCCAGAGTTCAAGCCCCACTACTGACCAAAAAAAAAAAAAAGAGTCTCATGGGCTTTTCTTACCTGGGCTGCCTTTGAACCAC